GGAAGAGTGAATATGAAAATGTGGTAGTGTAGACAGGGATTAAGAAAACTTAAAATAACATGAATAAACAGGAAGTTTAGATAAGAAAGGCGATGAGATGGTCATTACTAAAAAAACATTTACCTGTTTACGATGGCCATGGCAGGGACAGGGGTTGGACGTATTTCTCTTTGTATCTTTGTACAAGTATGGCATTTTCAGTATTGATATCAGTAGCCCAAATTTTGCAGGCCGACCATAGATATCGGGTGTGCGTCGACAAGGGATCGAACCCCAGACCATGTGCATGATCGGCGAGAGTCCTAACCACTGTGCCACCGACGCACATTATGTGATTGAACATTCTCCTCTCAGGAACCCTAATATATATTGAGAGCAGTACTATCATACCTGCCATAAAAAGGCGTAATTCCTCCAAAGACACGTTCATTATATGCGACAAGAACTGCGACTTGAATAGCATCCTGCCAACTAGTTCATCTTAGAAAAACAAAATGAGGGTAAAAATATCTTTCCTTGATGTGCTACTCACAAGGAGAGCTGATGGGTCTTTGAAAAGATCTATTTACAGAAAATTGACGTGGACAGGACAACTGACCAATGTTTACTGACCAATGTCCTTATAGACAGAAAAATGAATCTAATCCGCTTTCTGTCTCTCAACATGGGTTCAGAGAATTTGTCAAGTGGAAATAGTGTTGATGATGAATTCAAGCAATTGAAAGAAACTCTCAGAGGGAACAAGGATCCAATACGTTTCGTCGAGGCCAATGGCAAATTAAGCTGATGAAATACAGAGACTGATAAGGTAGCTAAAAGTGTGTTGCACATAAACTTAGAATTTACGGGTGACACTAAGAGTGAGGTAATTAAAAGTAGTCTGACAAGATCATTGCGAAAAGCGTTCTTTGCTGCAACTTTATGAATAACCTACTCCAGCCGTCCATTTGGTGCACCTTAGTGTCAAGGAAATGTTACCTCGATTGTCTAAATCCATGTATATTTATGTGTTCACCTGTTCTTACGAAGCTAGGTACATAGGATGTTCGTCGAGAAACACATTCTGCTACGATCGAGAGCACTTCTCAGTTTGGCTGGGCGAAGGGAGTGTAGAGGTATTAATTTTATCGATATTGCAACATACTGTAGATAGTGACCACCCAACACCTGACACATCGGTTATTCCAGTCGACAAAGTTCGACAAAGTCTGCCAAGAGGGACACAACTGTATTTAAGTGTTGGTTTGTAGGGATTTGATTGGTTACAGGATTTTCATCATGAGCTGACATTAGTTAGAGAACCATTGGAAAACCTGAGAGTACTGGACAGCTGTTTCGTCCTAGTTTGGGACTCTTCATCAGTACGCACCCACCTGTCCAGTACTACCAGGTTTTCCAATGGTTCTCTAACTAATGTCAGCTCATGATGAAAAACAACTGTATTTGCTTTAAATGGCGTAGGCTTTGGCAATACATAATGAAACCAGCCAGAACTTTGTATACAAAAGCAGTTTGTACGATTACTTCCGTTACCACAGTCCTGATTTTACTATGTAATTCACATAAAAATGTTTGTTACCCTTCTTTATTCCATGCTCCACTTTGATTTTATTTCATTTCACTTTACGTTATCATATTCTAACATTTTATCTAGTCTACTGCTTTGACAACATTTCACTCATCATATGTCTCCATCACATATCCACATTTCTGAATGTACTTTATTTTCCGATCATCTATTTCACATATGTCGTCTTTTGAACTTTAGGTTGACCTCTATTTATTTTATTAATCATTCATATATCTGATCAATTGTAACTCATAATCCCATACACCAATATTATTATCGCACTTTAGTATTTCCACTCACTGTCAAACTTTAACACACACACACACAAACACAAGGAAACTGATTGTCATTGTCTATTGTAATTCATATATATTTATGATTGTACAGCTATGAAAAAGAAACTGTCGAAAAGGGAATTTTCTTCCTTGAATTCTATGTGGAGGTGCTAGCCACACGTCTAATGTTTCATCTTTACCGAGTTTACTTCTGGCTAAGTGAGGTTTAGAAGTGCGCCAGCCGGCAGTCGAACACTGGAGCATGCGTCATGGATGGCGATCATTTCACCCTTGAAACACCGATTCACTGATCAGAACCAATAAAATATAAAAAACACTATCACTTTGTTCTTCTTTCCTAACTTTACAAAACTACAATAGTAGAAGACGTATACGAGGGAAAATCACTACATGCAGACTATTAGAAATTTTTAACAATATATACAATGGCGCTAAAAGGTTAAATTTACACCACTGTAAGTGATTTAGTGACAATTAAACGGCAGTCTACAATTTTTAGCCCTTTGCATCCGAAGCATCAGAACCAAAACTTCTGCGCGAAAGTCTCGGTCGTGATTCCCGGTTGTCAAAGATTCTTTTTTAAGCATCTCCTCAGTCACTGGGTCCGTTATCACTGCTTCGGGGAGAATTCCATCTGATACTGCTGCCTTCTTAGACTTCACTAGCTTGATAACATTCAGAATTTCCGCTTTCGTTGAAGGATTGGTGTTCACTGGCAGTTCCGTGCGTGTTGTTAGTGGTATTACTGGGCGAGTTGCGGGTAATGGGCGATTCAAGAGTCGTTTCAAGTGATCAGCCTATTGCTTCATTTGTTTCTCCTCCTTGGTAATCAGGTTCCCTTGAGCATCTTTTATTAGTTTCATCATGTAGGTTGATCTCTTCCTAGACACAGACCTGGTTTTCTGATAAAGTGTCCTATGGTCTCTTATAACTGAGGCCTGCCTGTCCTTTGTATCTCCGAACACTCTTCTTCACTTCCTTATTCAATGCAGTGTACACTGAACTCAGCTTCTCCTTCGCCTATTGTCCATCTTTGCATTCAGTCATCTCCTGTTTCCCCATCTTCCTCTCTTCTATTAGCTTCCAGGTAGGTTTCCGTTGAAAGCCATTCCTTGTCTTGTCTCTTCTTTCTTCTTAGAACAGTTGTACACTTTTCCTTGAAAATCACCTTCAGAGAGTTAGTTCTCGTGTTCTTCCAGCTGCTCTGTGATGCCAAGTTGTGTCTCCAACTTTGCTCTAATCTGATCTGTAGTGAAGGCATCCTTTTTGGTTTTGTCCTTCAGTTTCTGAATGTCGATCTTCAGCTGTTGCCTGTCTTCAGTTTTGTTTTTGAGGGATTTCAGATTCTTCTTCTTCCTGTAGCTGAGGGTCCTTATTAAAATTTCTCTTGTAGTGGAGAGGAACTGAGCTATGAATTGAGTCCTACGGATTCGTTGTCATTCGTAATAATTTACTCAGTAAACTCGGTGTTCAATTTAGTATTACCATTTTACATATTACCACATACACATATGTATATTTTGGATTATTACCTATTAAAAATCTATTTGCAAATAGAATTTGGAATTTTGATCTTAATGATTCAATGTTAATCTTTAAAAGGACACTAATTTTGTCAATAAGAATCCTTCTTTTATCATTATTATGGATATATAACTGTGTCACCTGATGAAGAAGGGGTTATCGAAAAGAATATGCTTTGTTTAATAATCAATACTTTGTGCTTTCTAATAGACATCTCTGATCAATATATATATATATATATATACATACTTATACATATACATATGTATATACTAATATTGCGTACCCCAAATATTCATCAACCTTATTCAACAGCAGTATAACAACGGCACATATCAAGTGATCCACAACGGAAAACTCAGCGAAGCGTTCGGAGTAAACACAGGAGTCAGACAACGGTGCTTATTATCACCAATGATATTCCTAATTGTGGTGGACTGGATTATGCGTCAGACAGTGGGAAACGAGAAGACAGGGATATCCTGGACCGACGTGAAGAATCTAGAAGAACTGGATTTCGCGGATGATTTATGTTTGATGTCACACAAAATCGAAGACTTACAAGCGAAAACCGACAAACTGGTCGAACAAGCAGCAAAGACAGGACTGCATCCAGGTGAACATAGACAAGACGGAGGTTATGAAAATAACCAACAAACAACAACAACAGCAACAACATCAGCAACATCCACCGCCAATCACCATCAACGGGAGGGATTTGAAAGAGGTTACTTCATTCACTTATCTAGGGAGCATTGTCTCAACTACAGGAGGAGCGGACGAAGATGTCAAATCGAGAATCAGGAAGGCAAGGAACACATTCATCAACCTGAAATCAATCTGGAAATCTTCGTCACTCAGCATCAACAACAAAATTCGGATTTTCAATACAAACGTCAAGTCAGTCAGTTCTTCTATACGGATGGATCAGAAAGTTGGCGGGTCACAAAGAATATTTCCAACAGCCTGTTGCAGACCTTTATCAACAGCTGTCTTCGTTCTATACTCAAGATCAGATGGCCGGAAAGAATCATCAACAAGAAACTATGGGAACAAACAAAACAAGAACCAATCACCCAACAAATAAGGACGCGCAACAAATATGCAAGTGGAGATGGATTGGACACTCGCTGAGTAGGCCACTGAGTGACGTCGCGCGTCAGGCCATAGCTCGGGTGGAACCCGAAAGGGAAGCGGCGAGTGGGACGTCCAAGGGTGACATGGATGAGATCGTGTGAAGAGGAGCTGAAACAGTTTGGATTAACATGGATGCAGGTGAAAAGTACAGCAGAAGACAGATGCAAGTGGAGACTTGCAGTTGAAGTCCTATGTTCCACTACGAACCCAAGGGAACAACAAATATACTAATATTTATCGGAACAATGATCATACCTCAGAAAAAGACAGAAGTTGCATAAAAACCAGTTTTATAATATATAGGGAATAGTAATAATACTATTGATATCATTGCTATTTTCTTGTTTCTTTAGGCAACAAAAAATAAAATAACTGACATTCTTCAAGAGCAGAATAAATCACATTGGATTGAAGATTTCAGTCTTTGCAACATGGAAATGATAGACGAATTATATAAGCTACATGTAGTGCAGTCATCTCTGATCATATTTTCGTAAATCATGTATAGTTTGTGGTGGACGGTTGTGTTGGCCACCACCGCCTTCGCCTTCTGCTACTTCGCTTTCCTTCAAATCTGATCGCTGATATACTTTTTGTCTGATAGAAGTCTGAGGAGTATTTCCTTCATCAGACGGTGCTGGTGATGTTGCAGGCATCTGCCTGATTGTTATAGCTGGTTTCACTATTACCATTGACTCCTGTGAAGTTGTCGAATCAGAAGCAGACGATGGCACCATCGATTTCTCTGTTCTTTCACCACGTAACCTCATCTGAAGTTCACGATTACGTGATCTTAAAATATCTAAAAATCGATCATTGAAATCTGCTTCTCTCGTGAAATATGGTAATAGTGTTGGTCGTCTTGAATATCTTAAAATGTTTTTGATTGACTCTTCTTTACTTGGATTGTTATTCACTGCTGCTGATAGTAACGTCTTCTTTCTACGTGGAAGTTTTATCGCTTTCAAGCTTTTAAGGTTATTTGTGATACCATCTTCGCCAAGATCATTGGGAGAAGAAGGAGTAGGCTTTCGCTTACATTTCCAGTGACACTTAGTCTTCTTTTTACAACATTTTGGCATTTTTTGAAATTCTGCAGGTTCATCAAGATCATCCATGAGTATATCATTACCGACGAAACTACTCTGACCAAGATTATCATTCTGAGGTAGAAATCCTTTTGTCATATAAGTATATCGTATTGCATCTGGCAAGTCAGTGAGAAAATTCTCCATTTCATTCGGTCTAATTTTAGCATAATGTAGACGTAAAGAGATTTTCTCATATAATTTCAATATTTTTTCATCATAACGTTCAGGATCCCGTTGTAGGATTCTTCGAATATACTTTTCATCAATACGCACAAAAAATTCCCTCACAGAATTGCGTCGTTTACAATTGGCTATCACCTCGATGCCAGATAGTGTTTCATCTAGTATATTTGCATTCAATTGAGCAAATAAACTCAGGGTTTTCTCCTCTTCCATACGTATTTTCAACGCTTTCACTAACGGTTTAATTGTAGTCCCCATAAAACCAACTGTGAACAGGATAATAAATATTGTTGTAGTGACAATGATATTTTGATTTTCTGCTCCCCTTTCGCCTAATATTTCATTAGGTATTTGAAGAGCTAAACAAAGCGACACCCCACCTCTTAACCCACCGTAGATAAGAATTGCTTGTTCTGTTAGACTGATTTTTGTCTCATCCACATTGACAGCGTTCAGGATAGCTGTCAGGACTAGAACAACTATCCCGCGGGCGATTAAACACATCACCATCGACCATAAAGCATAACCAGTATGCCAGTGAAGCGTTTCAGCGATAACAGTCACCCCCAGAAATACAAACACTACAGACTCACTGAGTTCAGCCATAACCTTGACGAAATTATGTATAGTGATAACTGATCGTCTGTCTATATTATGAAATGCATAAGCTGCTTGAATCAATCCACACCCAATCATTGATATAATCCCTGACCAACCAACACAATCTGCCATTATGTAGGAGAAGTAGGCAAGGAGTAGAACTGTCATTGTTGATAGATGACTAGGAATTCGTGTAATTAAACAGGTCACTATGCCGAAGACAACGCCAATCAGAAGGCCGCCTAAACTCACAGTGAAGAATGATGCTATCCCAATGCCGATTTGTCCACCAGTGACCTCCTTCTTCCCAGTGAATTCAACCATAATTTCATAGAGAACAATTGTGATGGCATCGTTCAACAGGGATTCACCAAACACAATATAGTAGAGATTCCTTTCTAAGCCTATATCATGAAAGATAGCCAATACAGCGACAGGATCAACAGCAACAATCAGCGAACTGAACAGCAGGAAACTTTTTAAATCCACCGTAATTTCTGGATAACCAAATGCACCGCCGGCATACAGACCATAGAGGATAAAACCAATCAATAGGAAGTTGAATACAGTGCCTAGGACAGCAAATAACAGTACAGTACCAAGGTATTCACTAAACACTCTGTTGTATAATCCATAAGCTGATTCAAGTACAATCGGTGGTAGCAGATACAGGAAAAAGTATTTCGGTGTTAACCTCCAAACAATAATTTTAACTGAACCATTGGCAAGTGCATAACGTATAAAAGCGCCGAATATAATTCCGACGATAATAAGTAATAATGATTCTGGTATATACTCCGGTAGATATGGTGTATAGTGGAAAGCGATTTTAATTAATATGACAGCGATTAAAAAGGTTAGAATACTGATGTGTAATTCGAATTCATCAAATCGCCATTTAGCTGCTGCTATGTCCTGTTCACTTGATGACGTAACGCAGGTAAGATGAAATGCTAAGCATACTGATAGATAGATCAGATTTGGCATAGTTATTGAGATCAGACTGTCCAGTTAAATGCCATCAATATCATTGAAATAGGATGGATACGTATATATTAGAGAGATGTACAAAGATCCACTAAAATAATGCATCGACAAAACTCCCAACTGAATATTTCTGTTTTTACTTCTCAGCTTTCAATAAATTGATAAAAATTTGTTTTAATTGAAGCAGGTAATGTGTGTGTAATTTAAAAAGGTTTTCAGGCATTATATATATATATGCATAAGGTATGTAACCACATGACATAATCCTCTTGAGAAAGCTTTAGATTGACACTGACAAGTAAAGATGAGCAAGAAATTTTGAAGTTCACATTTAGAGTGATCAATTCTACTTGATTTTCAATAATGAACATCACAATGAAATGCATTCATCAGTAAGCTGGCTTAGTTAACTGATTGGTAGTAAGATCAGAGAAGGGAGAGAAGGTTGGGCGTTAGACTTAGGAGGCTAACTCACGAAAAATCGGCCTAATCGTGACAGGAACTTTGAAACACGGGGTAGTGTATGAAAAAGAAATTTATTTCTTGGCTGGAGAAATTAAAGAAATGAAATGGTGTGAGCTGGTGAAAGTCGTAATGACGATAGTCGGCTGATATGTTTTCTTTCGATGAAAGTGAAAATAAGCATGAAAGTAGGGGATCTCTGCATGTTGTTTGAAGCTTGGAAAGCAGCTCAGATTTCAAAAGATTTGGAAAGACAAATTATAAAACTGCTTGGATCTTTGACAGCAGATAAAATTCAAGTGAACTCTTTAATGTTTAAATTGGAGAGTCTGGAATCTATATCGGTCACTCAAACGACAATCACAAACACACTAAGGGAGTGCCTATCAAGATGTTACCAGCAACAATGATATTCATCCAGACATTTGTGTTCGGGAGTAAAAGATAAACTGCCCAATTTAGCCTCTTCGATGTGTATCTACCAATTTGACTGCTCCTGTGGAGCCAGTTACATAGGTTGTATAATTAGGCGTGTTTCTCATCGCATTTCTGAACATCATCCTGCGTAGTGCTTAAGTAAAGGATCAACAAAATCCATTCATAACTCTATTCTATCTTATCTAGTGGATAGAGAACATAAAATTGACTTTAACGAGGCTTGCAAAGTCATCTACCGTATACCAACTAATCTTCCCTTTGCCTTAAGAGTTCGTCTACTACATGTCGCTGAGGCTGGCTGATGGGATCCATACTGAGAAACCTAAATTATATATCCAAAAGAAGCTGGTTGGTTCAGATACTGTCCTTATCTTGGCCATCAGGATTTTAATGATCCTCTATTCGTTGTGTAACTTTTCAGAATTTTATTTGATGTTCTATTTACTATTACATTTTTATGCTTATTATAACTTATGGATATTTCTTGAATTGTAATTTCAGCAATCTTAACAAATCGATAGTATTTAAAAACATAAATATTGCTAATTACGATTATTCTAGAATATTCTATATATATATATTTGTAGTGCCAGAAGAGGAAATTATCGAAAAGGATACTCTACGCTCAATTTTTTTGTTCTTTGTAAATAATGCCATTGTCAAATCGATAGTTGTATGTGACTCAGGATTTCCAATATCTTGCTGCTATTTTTTTCGTTAATTATCAACCCATTGACATGTTGACACTGTTTAATTATTGTTAACAAACATATCAGTGCCACTTGATTGGTAAACTGTTGTGCATTGGAATAAAAATGCTCAAGAGATATATACTAGAGTAGAGCCAGATAGAGATGAGGATCTAATTGAAAAGTAAATATTTCTTCGCTCAATCTTTCTGTTTTCTAAATGTCTAAATGGGGATTTTTTCTATATTCAAATGTATGTATTAGATAGGGACGTGTTTCCATTCTCTTCGTTATTTCATCACATACACACACACACACAAATTATACGAAGGTGATCTCCTTAGTCATCCATCCATTTTACAAAATTTTGATATATCAATTTAATAATAATAATTGCTTTACTTTTATATCATTCTATCTACTCATGTCAAAGAATATTTTCAGTTGGTGTTGTTGTCAATTATCTAACAACCACCTGACTAAATCATCTATCTTCTCAATCGTAAATAGCATTTTGTATAATCTATCAAATATTGTATTCATCTGTCACCAAGTTCATATTCAAATGTTCATAATGCTGTTTAATTCATGAATTATTCAGATGTTATCTCGCCTAATTTCTAAAGAAAAAATTCTCATTACTAAAGCTTTATATGATAAAGTATCAACTGAAAAGTGCATATATAAATATATGGTGTAGATTTCATTCCAGCCGTCTTCATCGACTGCACCTTCCTAGATTACACATCATCTGCTTTCGACTCAGTACCAAGGGATGTTTTGTTACACAAGCTTACTGAAACTCAAAGTGACTGTTGGGTTGTCAAATGGCTGCATTCTTATTTCTCAGGAAGAAAGCAGTACACTGTATGTCACAGAAAGTCGTCCTTTATCATTTTCTGTCTCCTTTCTTTTTGCATGACTTGCCTCACTCTGAGGAAATGAACTTTGTTAAGTATGCCGATGATCTAACTATTTCAATGTCTGTTAACTCCCAGCTTGACTGTTCTATAAGGAATTAGCAAATAGTCTTCGTCTAACAGCCTTAAACTTAATCCTTCCAAATGTCAGACTGTTAATTTCAGTTTCCGATGTGAAAGAAAGTTAAATGAAGCTGTCAGTTCCTACGACCGTTGCAAAATTCATGATAGTGATATAGAAATCAAGTCTGGCGTTAAGTATCTTGGATTAATTCTTTCTTCTTACCTATCCTGGTCTTCCCACACATCTAAGCGATTTCTAAAAGAATATTTCGTCTGACATTATACATTAAGAAGTTGAGGCACTCAGGCATAACTCAACCCCTCCTCCTATTACAGTTTGTTAACTCGTATATCTTACCTATTCTTTATTACTGTTCACTTTCTTATTCTTACCTGGAGTGCTTAAAAAAGAATGTGTTATACTTCGTAGAACTCTGAAGACTGTAAGTCAATATCGATTGGGCCACATCGTTGACATAGTCACTGATACGCACTTGATGTCATGCATCCACTTTACTCGCACCTCCAGCTTTGTGTCTCCTCAGGTAAAACAAGAAGTCTTTTCAGAAGACTTTATGCACGTACGTCTAAATATAAAAGTTCCACAATAACATATTTGGCTCGTATTTTACGTCATGAAAACAATGTCAGGCATGAACTGACTAACTTTCTTTGCACTACTAAATAAACCATTTCCTCCACCCTTGCAACATCAACCTTTATTGTTATTGTAATTTTTATATTCATAATCCTTTCAATATTTTAGTTTATTTTTTCATAAGTGTTAGCATTGTTTAAGCTCTGTTATAACTGTTAATTTTGCTTTTCCACTCACCATGCTATGTCAACAGAACATTAGATTGAATGCTCTTTAACATGCTAAATTTTCAAACTGAATCGCCAATACTGTTTGAAACAAACTGACTATTATTACTATCATTATTATTATATTTAATATTCTCATTTTGTACTTCGAATATTTCTGACTTTATATCGTACATATGGACAAATTCCTCTGGTTAATTTTGTTGTAATTTTTAATTTTATTTATATATTTTTGTGTGAATCAGATGCAGTGTTGTGAGAAATGCTGAGAATTCCATTCTGTATTGTAAGTACTGTTTTTGGATTAAAGTAGATTATTATTATTATTAAGTTACGATGTCAATTAAAGTTTTGCTGCAACTTAGTTTCCACTTCAACTGTGAACATCGTGTAGTCAAGTCAACACATTTTTTTTTCATTCCACGCATTGCGCGTGCAACACACGTGGCTGTTACTTTTATGTGGCTACCCAGCTGCCCAGCTTCATGGTCAACTTTTCTTCTTTCTCAAGCTTAAATTGGCTACCAAACTATTTGAGATTAAGAAGTACGTCAGCTGGGAATCGAATCCGGACCATTCATGTGGCTAGCGAACAATGGAGCATTGAACAACCACTGGATATCCACAAACGTTTTCTGAGAAATATACTTTTCTGTCTTCGTCATCAAACAGTTTATTCTTTTATTTCAACTGATTAAGAATACCCATTAAAATTTTCAAAAGAATGGATATGGAACAAAGAGTACTCTTTTCGATAAATTCATCATCAGGTTCTACAATTATATATACATTATAATGAATGAATGAATTAGTCTTATGAACTACATTAATGTTCTTTAAATAACATCGAATCAATAATATTGATAGATTACAGCTGAACAGCATCCACATAAAATAAGCTGAATGTCAGAAAGATTATGAAAGAGCACAGAAGAAGCAGATAGAGGTCATGAAAGGACTTGAAAGGAAGCCAGAGGCTGGTAAATTTCCAGCAGATCCTGAAAAGTACGTCTACAATTATAGTAGTGTAGAATCAAATAAGGTGCAACTCTAAGTACTTTCCCTTGGCCTTCGATTTTGTGATAGACTGAAACGAGTTAATCACTTAGATACTGATATTGAATTTGAGAATCTATTTAGTCAAACAACGGATCTAGTTCCATCATCCACCTTGGAACTAGAACGCTTCAAATCCAGTCTAGCGGATTGTTGCTATCAGTACAAAAACCTCCAATGTGACAGTAAACGTTTCTTAACAAAGGAGCACAGAGAAGAACTAAAAAGACTGATAAATGATGAGAGACTGATGATCATAAAGCCGGATGAAGGGTCAGGAGTAGTCCTTCTCGATAGAAGTGACTATATTAAAAAAATAAAGGATATATTGAAGGACACACAGAAGTTTCAAAAACTTGAGAAGAAGAAAGATTTCAATAACAAAACAGAGAATGAATTAACCAGAAGTTTGAAGAAACTAAGGGAGGAGCAGATAATTTCAGAAAGTTTAAATGAAGAAATCAGACCAACGGGCACGTAAACGCCAAGATTGTATGGCCTACCTAAAGTTCATAAACCAGGGGTACCGTTAAGACCAATACTCGAT